TTGTACTTATTGTTTCATTTGCACCAGTGTATGTTATTGTATTTTTAGTTACTCTTACCTTATTTTATGACACTTGCATGTCGAGTTGCTTGAGGTGCCTGAGATTTAAGATTTTCATTGCAAACATGCACGCTGTATCTGTTGAGCAGATGACAATAAACCTTTGAACTTGCTGTAAGTATTAACAATGGACTTTTCATGTATTGATTTAACTTCATTACTGCACCGTAAATATATCTATATAAAGAAACTTTACTCATCTTCTCTGTTCTCGCTAAACGAGCCGCTGCACGTGGAAGTGTGGGCGTTGTTCCTTCAGAATAAAGGCCTCACCCAAACAGATCACAAATCAGCGCCCTCGTTGTTGATGAAAAGCGGAAGTCGCCCGGTTCGCCCGGCGGAGTTTCCCCGTCACGTGGTTTAATCGGGAGCGAATCAAAAAGGATGTGTCAGAAGTGGGATTCGAACCCACGCCTCCAGAGGAGACTGCGACCTGAACGCAGCGCCTTAGACCGCTCGGCCATCCTGACGTGTAGACAGCCAATCACAGCGCCGCTTTCATCAGCCAACATCCGACCAATCACGACGAGCAGCGAAGGTGAGTGCAGGGGGCGTGTATCAAACAGCGAACACGTGTGGCCGGCCGAAAGGGGGAGTGGTTAACATCTGTAAATAATAGTTTTATGGTGAATAGTTAAATGAAAAACGTACATTTATACGTTTGGAGTCCTCGTTGTATTTATTGTGACTTTCCCGGTCTGTTTTAATTCAGTCTTACTGACGCGTTTCTAGTCTTTTTAATGACACAGCAATAACACCGGAGCTCATCGTGATGATGACGCAGATGACGACATTCAATAACGGAAACATGGTTTGTGATTTACAAGTTGATACGGGAGGTGGTCTCTGATGTACAGTCGAAGAAATGTTCCTAATGAGCAGGAGGATCCTCCACACAGAAATTATTCTCATGAATATGTGATGTGTGTTATAGGGTCATAGAGAAACTACCAAAGAGAAACTGCCCATGTGTTGAACATGCAAACTACAGCATTGGGGCTAAAATCAGGTAGATTCCTTGAAGACAATATTGGACCCAATTAAAAAGCAATGGCAACATCTTATTATATTTCGTTTTCATTTAGTTTTTGCACTTTAAACCTTTCACAGTGAAGCCCCTCTTCAGAGCTGCTCAGATCACGATGCTCGCCTCCTCCCAGACTCTGCTGTGGCTCTGGAGAACAATCGAAACCAGGAAAAAGAGCGCAGCCTATTTTCCGATCCGCCATGACACCCTGCGTGCCTTTCATCCCGAAAATCTCAATCCTGGCAACCGCCCGCTCATCTGCATCCACACACACACGTTGTTGGTCCAGGTCTCGGTTTTAATTCAGAGGTTTTAATGAAGCCGAACATGTGACACCGCCGCCAGCATCTGGTTGTTTAATACTCGGCAGCACAATCGCACCGAGGTGACAGATTTGGTTCTAACGCCACTGATCTGATGTGTTATTGCTGCACATGACAACGGGGGGAAGGTTACGATCATCTGCTGGATAAGTCTCTGGTGTTTGTGTGTGTGACATGAGCAAAAATCTGAGGGAGATTATGAGAGCGAGAGGAACACACACACACACACACACACACACACACACACACACACACACACACACACACACACACACACACACTCACTCACCTGCTCCGGCTCTGGCCTACTCAGCACTAATGACTGTGTGATTGGATTATCCGGGCTTTTAGCAGTGCCACAGCTGCAGCTGACAGAGACGCTAACCTGCAAAGGTCAAGCTGGGGTCAACGAAAGGTCAGCGGGGCCGTGAACTCAGCGGAAGACGAGGCCTCTAGCGCAGGAGGAGAAAAGAAGGCAACATTAACACTAGAGTGACAACAGGAGGGTGTTTTTTATTCAGCAGATTGAATTTCTAGGGGATTGTGAGAGGAGGAGGATAGAAACGGCGGGAGAGGACGGTTGGCGATGATGTAGCGCGCTCGGAGGCGGGAGACACGATGTGTTGTGACAGAGGAGCCTTGCAGACACTGCTGGCCTCCTGGTGACTCCACTGTACGCTGG